GATATTAACCAAACAAACGAAGAGCTCGGGGTCATGGGTTTGTGTTTTCTAGGCATCCAGAGTCGAAATAAAAACACACTATTAAGTTGCATCATGGGAAGTGTAGGATGCCATACTAAGGGACTACATGTCAGGATATATTGGCCTCAGTTGTATTACTTTTGACCATTAATTTGTGTTTCTCAAGGTGCCCAAGTTTTTTATTTTGAGTGCAGGTCTGCTGATTGTTTCTCATGAATCTATTTCAAACATCATTGCATTCTTTTCAGCTGCTAAAAAATGATCCGAAATAAAATCTGTCCGTTCCTTCCTCAAATCTTTATTTGCAGTAACTTTTACAACATCTTTACAACTAATGCCTTTGAGCTGCAGCATGAGAAACTTTAGATGCTTGAATTGTATAATTTCACACAATTTAAGCAGCGTTCGACTAAACAGGGTGAATGTACGACATCTCAGGAGCGACGGGATGTTCTCATCTCTTTTCTGTAGCCCAAATTATACATTCTAGCCCGGTAAGATGGCTGCTTCCTTTCTACATAAACTGTTGCCTCGTTCTGCTGAAAACATGTGAGAGTGCTGGATGCTTTATGAAATAGTCTCTGCATGTGTTTTTGCAGACTGAACACCCTCAGACACCTGGGGTGTAGTAAAAAAAAGGCTGTATGGTTGTGTCGAGTGCTTGTAACATCAGCGGCATATTATGAATAGGCTAATTAGTCAGGAAAACTCGTCTCCAGATGCACCTCCATGCTGCTTTTCTTGTGTTTCTCCCCTTTAAATCACCAACTCGTCTCACCGTCAGCTCCTTATCACAGCGTCCTCCGAGACCCTGGCGGTTTATCCTCTCCTTCTCTTCTCTTGCGTTCTCCTCAGGGCACAGTCAACAATCAGACAGGTATTTTCCCAGAATCCTTTGTGAAGATCATAAAGCCCCTCCCAGAGAGTGACTCAGAAGGTGATGGTGGAGGCCACACCTACAGCTGTCTGCGCTGCTTCCTGCTCACCCCCTCTGGGGTCGACACCAGGTCTGTGCTGTGTGTTTGTGAGTGTCTGTGAGTGTGTGTGAAAGTAGATTTGAGATTTGATATTCAGATTGATGTGTCTGATGTTACACTGAGGATGAGTTGAGTCTTAAAGACAAAGCGATGATTTCATGCTTAGGTTTCTGGATCCGCATACTTCCAGTGACCCCACGACCCCAGGTTACAATCTAAACCTTCTACTGTGTGGACGTCATAAGCAACCGGACAGATTGCGGGGGAAAATTGAGTTTGTGGTCCACACATGCACAGCTTCTCTTTAAGTAAATGTTCGCCAGATGTCAGGACGGATGTGATCGACTGTAGTTTTATCCAAACTAGCGCTAAAAAGACCTTTTTAAAGGTTTAGATTGTAACTTGTTTTCCCTCGAGTCAAAAAAGTGAATCATTCCACCTCAGTTCAGCTGTTGAAATGTGATTGTGTGAATGCTGCGCACAAAGCAATTCTACACTGTTTATGGATTTTTAAATCTTAACTGCCTTCATTCAGATGTGTGTGTTTGTTTGTTTGTTTGTTTTTTATCAAACTGTTAAAACTTTTATTGAATGTGCTGGTTAAATCACTTGTTACACATCTGGTAACATTTGAGTGTGAATTCAATTGCATCGATGTGCTTTAAGGAGGTGACTGTGTTGCTCCTTCTTGCAGAGATGTGTGTGTACAAGAGGCCCTCACCATTCAGCCGACGTACAAGGAGTTGCTGTCTCGTATGAGGTAGGTCTGTCCTTGTGAAATAAATGTTGCCTGTTGATTGTTTTCTCACCTTCTTTTCACTTATTTCGTTCTGCTCAAGTGGAAACTTGAGGCTTTGATGGACATTTAAAATCGTGTGTTTTACATCCTCCTTTTATTGCATTTACACCCAGGTGGGAATTAATGATTGAGAGGAAATGTGAGAATCATTTTTTGGGGGTGTTAAGAGTGGACTGTTGTTTAGTTCTGCAGGGGGGGGGGGGGGGGGGGGGTGATTGTACGTGAGCTCACATCTCCTGGTGAGCCCCAAAAAAAAAATGTGATAATGGAATACAAAGCTGACATATTTGATGAAAGCGTGGAGGGAAAGTCAGTGGAACATTTTGCATGTAAACCATCACATTTTATCATAATCACATTAACAATCTTATACGAACCTCAGTTTCCTGCTTCTGGTTCTCTGTGCCGTCAGTGACAAATTACTAACTGCTGAGTGCTAACCTTTAACCTCTGCTTTGTGAAGCATTATTGAAGTGTTTGACCTGTTTTATCAAAGCCTTTTCAACAGATTTGACTTTAAAAAAATTACGATTCAAATCATGAATTAGAGCTTTTTGTTCTCGAGTCCGTGCACAGCGGAAAAACATTTTCTTATCTGGTGTTTCTTCCTGAGACGTGCTGATGATCGAAGGTGATTGGTGACCTTTGTGCGTTTCCCCTCCCTCACTAGTTTGTGTTTGAGGTTTGCAGTGAACAAGGATGAGTAGAAGTCCATTAAGTCACCAGCCTGCAGTGAGCGGCAGCATATTTGTGCACTGCAAACCTGCAAATTGCCAGTTGCCAATCATCAACTGCTCGTCAGATTCGTTCCTGTAGGACCTCCGACAACCCCCCCCCCACGCCCTCCCCCCTTCCTTCCCACTGCACCACCATCACCGGATGCATATGGTCATTACACTATCATATCTGCTCTTGCCTGTCTTTTTTTTTTCTCTTTCATTCTCCCTCTCCCTCTATCTCTCATTATCTGGTAATTTAGATAGGTGAACGCTACGATGATTACCCCTCCCCCATTCATAATCAGTTCATTTCCGCCGCTTATCTGCTCATTATTGTTTTTCTGTGTTCAGGCCTATTGTGCCCTGGAGTAAGATGGATGAGACCCTGGTCCTGAGTTTTAATATGGCTTAGCACTGATAGAAGTGGGGGGGGGGTATGAAGAGATGGGGGGAGTAGAGGGTGGTGGAGGAGGAGGAAGATAAGAATCTGAGAAAAGAGTGAAGCAACTGCAGACATCGCCGAACTACCTGCTTTACATAATGTAGTAAATAAATATGCAATAACCTGTTTCAACTATAAATGAGAATATAATGGAATAAAGGGAATTCATGTGATAAACTGTCAGATAGCGTCACATCACACTGGCGTGTGATTATTACTGATTTCGTTTCTCCTCATTATCATTAACACATCCTATCATTAACATTATTACTCTGACACTCCATCACACTATCCATCAGTGATCAGCTGGTACAAGCAGAGAGAGAGAGAGAGAGAGAGAGAGTCTCCAACGATGCTGCTGATGCTTCTGTTATCAGCTCTGCCAAACACTATTATATTTGATTCTGCATAGCGTGTAATCATATATATTGTTATCATATCATTAAATGTTCATTATACAGTAGTGTGAAAGATAAGATAATCCTTTATCAGTCCCACAGTGGGCAAATTTGCAGTGTTACAGCAGCAAAGACAGTTGACAGTAGTGGACAGTGCAAAGAAAAGAAAACTGCAAAATGAGAATAGCTAATAATGCCACTTGTTTTTCCATGGCTGGTGGCAGGAAGTGACTGAATCTGTCTGTGCTTGTCCTTCATCAGATGTAATACTTCGTCATGTTGTGCCTCCAGGAGGTCAATCGAAAAAACTAATAAAAACTGTGACTGTTTCCGTTTCAGTTTTTTGCTCTTAACTAATTCCTGCAAACAAACGTTAGTTAGAGTCTGTTTCGTGAAAAACACTGACTTTAGAGAAGGTGCTGCAGTTGTCAAACTTCCTATCTGCACTTATTACCCATTTCCTTTCATCCAGCTCATGTTTTCTTGGTGATAATTCTCACAGGCACATTTTTAATTAAACTGTAATATATCAACAAAAGCCATGCCGGGCAGTCATTTCTTCCACTGGAAAAATTGTGCAGGTCTTCCTTCTAATGCTGGTCTCAACATTAAAGTACATCAACCATTTAATATAAAAGAAACATAAAAAGCAAGTTTATTCTCATAGAACAATGAGAGCCATGCACATTAATAATAAAATAACAATAATGAATAAATAAAGAAAGACAAAATAAGAAAATACAGAGAGGTTGTTGCTTTTTAAACATGTTGAAAGCTTCAGTTCAGTTGGGCTCTCGTGCTTTTCTATATCTACATTGACATTTAGTCATTTGGCAGATGCTTTTTTTATCCAAAGCGACTTACAAGTGAGGGACATCACTAGAGCTGCAGCAGGAGAACTAACTCTAGTCAGTAAGTGCAAGGAGATCAGGTAGAGGAAGTGCACAGTAAGAGCATAACAAGAACCTCAAAAACTTTATTCTAATTTATTTACAACATGTAATGATAATTTATTAAAGTTATAATTTTACATGAAACAACTTGGACCTCTTTTTAGTTCCTTTTTGGACATGGTCAACCTTAAATGTTTTGTAACTTCTTCAATCTTGGTTTGATTGCATTGGCTCAAATCTGAGTCTGACTGCTGTGATTTCATGAACTGAAAAAAGAAAAAAAAAGGGAAACATGTCTGAGGTTGAAACTATTTGAAAACACCCAGAGTCTGAAATCCCTGTCTGCCTGTCCGTGTCTCTCAGAAACGTCTTCAAGGAGGATGACATCACCCTGAACTACCGCGACCCCGAAGGCGACCTCATCCGTATCCTCGACGACGAGGACATCCAGCTGATGATCAGGGAGAGCAGAGGTCAGCAGGGTAAAGTCAAGAGGCCTGTCAATCAGTTTCCGTGGGAGCTGCACGTGACCATGGCCTCTGACCTTTCAGTTTACAACACCGAGGCCTGAGAGAGAAGCAAAGTGGAATTCAACGGAAGAACAGAAGACACTTAGTATTTAGTTCTTATTCGGAAATGATGAACTTGAACCCACGATTGATGTTGTAAGTGTTGCCTGTGTCTTCACTGTTGTGCCAGTTAATGGTCAATGCATTTCACTTAGTAATAAACTAATTTAATGACACTTTTACACTTTGCATCCTAGTTTTGTTTTTATTGGAAGTTGTTGCTTTCAGCTGCTGAAGGCCGGAGAAGTGTACAGCCTGCTGTATGCAATGTCAGCGTGGGAGCCTCAGCACAGGGCGAAGAAGACATCACACACAGAACATTTCAAGTACAGCAGGGGTACACACAATTGCAAATAATGTCGCTACAAATAAAAGCTTCTTAATTTATACAACAAAACATATTTGCTGGTTCCAGCCTCTCCAGTTTGAGGATATGCAGCTTTTCTCTGTCGTATGTCACTGAAAACTGAATCACTGCACTGTTGCTCTCACAAAACAAGCAATTTGAAGACATCACCTTGGGATTCGGGGGTGGTAGAAGGACATTATTCATTTTTTCCTGACATGTCATAGCTTAAAATGGGGAAGACGGACAGCGGATGTGGTTAAAAGCCATGGGAATTAGCTAAGTACGGTAAGTGGACCTTAAATTGAGAATATTTTTCTTCATATGTTTGAGAATGGACGTCCACTCTCAAGATAAGGAAAGTGTTTGTTGCAACTGTATTTGCGCTGACTTTTAACTTAAGAGCAAACCAAAGTTTCTCCACTTGATCTGCAGCAGCCACTGCTTTGTGAATACTCACATTAACTGGCATGTTTTAAAATGATGTCAAACTGCCTCCTGCCCGATCATTCATCACACTCATACCCTCTCAAGACTACAGGACTAAAACACAACAACAAAATTTCCCAAAACAAAAAAATCATTGACTATTGATCAATTCTTACATCTTTTTTGTGATAATTATGTGCCACGGGTGAAACTTTTTTACTTAAAATTGGACCTTTAAATGGTAATGAAAAAGAGTGCTACGTTTTTGTGTCCTGTATCCTCCCCCGGCTCTGTCTCACTCACACCGTACATTCACATTTTGTCTGTGTGTCTGCATTTCATTCACACTCGCCTCAGGAAATTCAGATATTGCCTTTGCTGGCAGGACAGTTTTTCCTCATCTTTAATGCAAAGTTATTCCCCTCATATTCCTTTTTAACAACCTCTCCCAGGCACTGTGGAAGTTATGCATCTTTAAAAGTTGCTTATCGTACCAGTGGTGACTGATACTCGCCCATATTTAAGTGTAAACACTCATTCTATTGAGTATTCTGGTGTGTGTGTGTTTTGTTTTGTTTTCTGGGAGTAAGTGTTATTGGAAATATGACAAATCCAGTCATAAATTATGCTTGTTGATTCTGTGACGGATTGGATTCGACAGCAAATTTACATCTTTTTATGCTACTTTAAACTGGGAAGAGATGTTACTGCTAGCTAAAGGGAGAAATCCAACTTATTTTAGACCAGTGTACCAAAACAACAGTTGTTTCATAACAGCTAAAACAGGGTTAATTCTCTATCCCTAAAAATACAGATGTGATCCCTGGACAGATGTTGGTGTAAATACTGTTTTTTTTTCAGGTGTTAATGGGTTTTTTTGTTGATGATCCTGATCCTGTGAAGCACACAGCGCACTGCCCTACATGGCACTGATGTGGATGCACATCACTAGAATTCACTCGCACAGAAATGTTATGTTGCTACGCCGTGTGCCAAAACTGTAAGGCTGTATCGATGCCTGTGGGCTGAAAGCACAAATACACACAAATACAATCATGTAAAGACACACACAAGCGAACACACATGCACACGCTTTGATTTATCTGAGTGTAAATCTCAGGGTAAATCACATCAGTGCGGGGGGAATTAAATGGATAAAGGAGACATGTCCTTGATAAACCAGTTTGTCTGTGATAACTTTATATACACATTACTCTGTTTCCAATTACATCTGTTGGTTTTTTTCAGTTTTAAAAAGCGATAATTCCAGTGTCTGATAAGCGCAGTGACACTGGTTTGACATTGGCAGAGCTGTAGTGAAATAAACACTTTGTGGTGTCACTCAAAAGTCACTGCTTTGTTTTTGTTGTTATAATGGGGACGGCGCCCACCGCAGCCACCGTGGTGTCAACCTGCGCTCATGTTTTCATTTAGCTGATGCTTTCATTCAGGGCAACTTAGCACCGAGCGAGCAGGTGAGACTTCGGGTCGTGTTCGAGGACACTGCTTACTGATGGGCGATGTGGCACATCGGTTGTCGTTCTGGGGTTTCTTAAGAGGTAGAAACAATCTCCTTGAGTTAAGCCTTAAAGCTAAATTCCACAATGTTTTTTAAAATTAAACTAGACGGAGCAAACTTTGTGACGGAGTGTGGCGACATACTTTCAAAGCCACAGGGATTTTTGAAACGTTGTTCATACTCTGCTGCTAAGAAATTTTGATTTGACGGATTGCACCTGTTTATGAACACTGAAACAGCTGGCCTGGCTCCGTCCAAACGTCCAACTCCACCTTCTGGTGCAGTGATTCTCTGGGGTCACTGTCACCACCCTTGGATTGGAGACTCCGGGAAGTCACTGGACCCGGCCAAGACATAGTCCAGCACAACCCTCCTTCAAACCATATTAAACGATTGAAATAAAACACGTTGATGAGCGAGCTTCAGGGGTGCTGGTAGGAAAATTTTGTTACATTTGGACAGACCAAGGTTAACTGTTACCTTGTGTTTCCCGTCTTTGTGCTAAGCTAAGCTAGTTAGCTTCTGGCAGTAGCTTCATATAGCAAACAGACATGAGAGTGCAATTGAACGATGACTTGAATGACCTAACATATGTTCAGGCTTTAAAAGGTAAAATCAAAGGGCCAACTTTTTCAAAGTGCCACTTCAAGCTAATATGGGTGAATCTGCTACAAGATGATATTTCCATTTTCTCAACAACTAAATTTAGAGCAATACTATTGTTTGCTTTAGCAGTGTGTTTTGGCAATAAATTACACTTAAGGGGTGAATGAAATGCTTCAGTCAAAGTACACAATTTGCCAGAATACCAGGCAGGTTTTGTTGAGCAGATAATTAATCATATCACTGAGGGCGACTGCATCATGTGCTGGAGAACATTTTATTCCCGTGTGTCTGTATTTCTCTGTCTGTCAATCTGACCCTGTCGCTCTGTTTGACATTCTGTCACTTTCACGCTCTGTATCTCTCTGTCTGTCATCCTCAGCCTCTCCACGCCTCATAACCTACTCGGTGAGAGAGGGCAGACTCTATCTAAGTAGCATGTTCTCTAGTCAACCTTTGCCCAGAATTTAATTATCAACATTCGTCTTTGCTGCCACGATTGCCTGTTGTACATCTAATTAAGCTCATAATGAATGTCATTAGGGCCAAAGTCATGTAAGCCTGTGAACCAGCCCTGCACCATTAATAGTCGATGAAACGTGGGGCACATGCTTAAGTAGCACAGAGTTAGAAATGAAGGAATGAAATTTCATTTTATTTTACATTTTCAATTAGATTCTATTTAATGTATGTCTCTAAATTGTGAGTTCTGTATAAATCAGCCGGGGTCAGGTCTATTTAAGGTATCAGCAGAGCTCTGTGAAGGGTCGGGACCTGTAGACTGTTGCAGATCAGCCGATCTGTTAATGTGACATATTTGGACCTAGCATCTCCAGGTTCGATGTGGACCCCTGAAGATGATAAGCTGAAAGACAAAAGATCCCTGCCGATGCTCCGGGTGTCGCTCCGCTGCACTGAAGGCTTGTCACCCTGAGCACAGTGTCGGATGCAGGAAATCATACTCAGAAATCTGAAACTCAGTGAAAATTCAGTGAAAAGTCTTCAAAAATCCCTTCAAGATTTACTTCTTCTAAGGGAATCACCTCACCTAAAATGCTCTCTCTCTTTATCCCTCTCTTAAAAAAAAAAAAAGCCTTTCCATTTCCTATGCACTTATGCCTTGTTGCATGCACCAGCGACCTTGAGGCACTCATGTCTGGTAGAACATGAAACTGAGTGTTGTGGCACTTTTACTCAATTGGCTTCTCCTTGATCCACCCTGGCTTGGATTGTACGTCTTTTGTACAGCGCTTTGATGAAAACATTTTTATATTTCTGCCAGTTAACAGGCTGACGGGGAACAGACAGCAGGAATGATGAATATACTCAAATGGGGAGATACAATGGCAACATCTGGAAAGAGGTTTGGTGAATGTAGGTCTATGTGTGTCAGGAGATCAGGGCAGGAATCCAACCTCATCACAACATTAGTTCTCTGCAACAAAACAAGATGTTTGAACAATAAACAACAAACTATTATATATGCAAAGATATTGTTGAGTAATGGCATCCTGATCTTAGAGAAGGAATTCACACCCCCTCAGTGTTGTAATCTGAGTTTCTCAATTTTTTGTTTTTTAATCTGGTCTGGCAGTGCATGCATGTTGGTGCGTGTGCGTGTTAGTGCACGTGAGTCCCTCCTGTCAAACCTTTGGCCCTCCCCACATAGGCACCGCCCACAGGTGAGATACCACAGAGCAGTAAGCAGCGTCCAGGTGAAAGCGAACATCAAGAATTTCTTCCTCTGAAGTAACCACGTTTTCAGATGAGACCAGGGCACAGACAGACTGGACATGGGGACTACAGGCTCAAATACTGGACTAATGGACCATCAAAACATCCATAAAGTTTTTATGGCGCCTTCAGTGTCATTCATTTTCAGTGGATAAATCCAAGACTCTGGAGCCAATACTGGTCTGGCTTTACCGAGATGGAGAGACCTACGAGCGGCTAAAGAGCTCCAGCTTTACTGGGAACTGGCTTTTCTTCACCTCAATGTGTAAGTAACTTGTAACATGTCTGTTTTCATTAGTGACCGGCTACAGTTTGGCATGGTGACGTTAGCTAACTTGCTGTTACCCATATTAGGAGTGCCAATTGTTGCTATCGTTAGCTGGCTAACTGTCAGCGTTGCTGTGGAGCTTATAGCGGCGATGTTAGCATGGGCTAACGGTTGTGGCTCCATTGTTTTTGTTGGCTCTCGTGTACACAGCAGGGTAAATGTATTAAGTTATGTGTTTTGTGGCCGCTTTCATTGAGCTTTTTAACATCTTGTTGACTGAGAG